AAATGTAGCAATAGCAAGTGTACTAGTGTTATAGACGGATAGTGAGCGAGGGTAAAAACATGTCGAGTTTTATAAATATAATACGGGACTTTCTGACGCCCACGGAGAACCGATGGGACGAGGTGGAATGCAACGTTGGCAGGCAGCGGGCAGCGGAGGCAGACGACTCATCGCCATCCCAGCTGAACAAGAGGGAAAGTGTGGGCGAGTCCATTATTTTCAGAAGGACAGGTACCGACGACCAATCACGATGCCGTATCCACACTGGAGGAGTTTTCTAGGGATAGGAAGATATTTCAGGAGTTAGCCAAGGATTATAGGGAGAAGATAACAGGATCAGGAAAGAGATTACAGGAAAGCTGGGAAGAAAATAAACAGGAAAGGGGACAGAGATACCACGTACCCCTACCCCACGCTGGAACAAGCCAGGAAATCTTACAGAGAAACGAAGTCCGATAGAACAGCACAGCGGCAGTCAGAAAGCAGAAAACGGCAGCGTGAATTCTGATTTGTCACCTGAGGAGGAAGCAGATATTTTACAGGAACCTGCAAAAGATACGGCTACAGTTGGGCATATGCCATACACGCAGGAGAGAAGTTCGTGGTGAAGTACACCTGCAAAGGAACGAAAACTTCCAAACTTTAGGAAGGGAGATGGAACTGCCTTAAAGCACTTCCTAATAAAATTCGAGATGACGGCTAGCTATAATCAATGGCCAGAGAATGCATGGGGAATTCAATTAGGCTTATGCTTGGAGGGTGAAGCTCTAGAGGTGATGATAGAGATGCCACGATCACAGTGTGCGGACTACGACAAGATTGTTGCCTGTTTGCAATGCAGATTCGATCCAGTAGAGCGAATCCACGTCTATCGGAGTGAGCTACGTCGTAGGAACAGAAGATATGAGGAGACACCTAAGGAATACGGCGCTGTCATGCGGCAGTTATTCGCTCAGGCATACCCTGGCATGATAGGTTTTCAGACGGAGCAGATCCTGATCGACAAATACCTGGAAAGAATAGGAGATGTAGAAATACAATGCTACGTACTCTTGCAAGGACCAAGAACACTAGACGAGGCTATAACTCGGGTAGCCCAGTATGAGGCCGTTACAAGAGAAACAGTACATCGTAGAAAACCGCCACCAGGTGGAGGCACTTATGTACGAGCTGTGATGCAACCAGTGGATCCAGTGTCGAGTCGATGGGAAGAGATGCAAGAAGGGATGAGAAGCCTGAGACAGGAAATGGTTAAGATCAGGAAGGACATGGAAGGTCAAGTACACCAAAATACAGCTAGGGCTGGGAGCAGAGGTCAAAGGTCGGGGGAGAGTATGCCGAATGCACCATTCAGCAGAATGGCAAAGCCTCCACCGAATAGGACAGGGATAGCTGAAATAGAGTGTTATTATTGCAGGAGAAAGGGACACATGCAGAGAGATTGCCCACAAGGATTGCAATGTGGCAATATTTCAGATAATCACTCACAACGGACAGGAGTTGACGAGATGAGTCAGCGACCGTTAAACTAGGACGGGCTAGGAATAAAGTCGGTAGCCTGGTCCATAGTAAGCCGACTGAGGGAGCTACACCACGATCTACTGGTTTCACACTCTCTTAGAAGGGCGAGATAGAAGAAGGCGATGATACAGGAAAACATGTAGGGATTAAAATACCGATAAATAGAGAAAATAGTTCAGGCAAGGCTGAAGCCACACAGATACCTACTATCTCAGTAGCAGCACTGCAATGTCATCCCACATGAGTGATACCTGTGAAAGTAGAGGGCTGGGACATGACATTTTTAGTAGACAGCGGATCAAGTACAATGCTGATAAATGAAGATAGGTTCAACAACATCAAAGCGAGTACCGGGCTACAGCTGATAACAAGAAAGAGAGATCTGAAGATGGCGAACGGCGAAGCAATGAATAGTCCTGGAGAGACTACTGTCCGTCTAGAAATTGCCGAGCATACCTACGATAAGAAAACAATGGTTATCACACAATTAGAGGATTTGGATGGGATTTTGGGACTCGACTTTCTCGTTCCAAACAATGCTATCCTGAACATTACTACAGAAATGCTATCACTCGATGGGAGAGAGATTCAAGGATTTTGGACAGGAGGAGAGAATGGTAGACCAGTACACGTGGATGAAACGACGATGCTGAGGCCAGGGAAAAGATACAGAATCCCTGGATGGACTTATGCTGACGATAAAGTATCCAAAGGAAAGCATGTAAGGCTAGTGCCTATCCCAGAATTTTAGAAGCTGGAGGCACAGGGGATTTGGATAGAGCAGACGGTATTCCCAAGGGATGTGATGAAGGTACCCTTGGTTATTTCCCACACAGAAGAGAAGCCTACCCTGTTGTTTGAGGATCAGCAAGTGGGGGAACTCAAACTAGTGGAGGAGAGTGAGACACAGCCAGGACAGCAGTTGGTGAGCGTTCTGGATGGCATGGCACCCACCAAGTTAGCTGACCACTTACAGCACCTACTGGATAGAGTAGATACGTACGACTTTGAAATTGATCACCGGAAAGGACAGCATCACCAGAATGCAGATGCGTTGTCACGTAAGACAGTAGGGAAATGCCCTAAAGAGAACTGCCCAGATAGCAGGCATGGAAGGATGGGAGAGGATGCCCAACCAGCGATGGAGATGCACTCAGAGGAAGAGGAAACGCACATTCTAGAGGAAGAAGACGAGGAAAGTAGTAGCGAGGAACCACTCAGCTGCAGTGGGGGAGCAGAGGATTTTACATGGAGATATGAACCACCCAGTCGTAATGGGAGGAGAGACGGTTCTTCATGTGAGGATAAGGGGCAGCGTGGGCAGGTGTTGGTAGTGACCGAGGGAGAGCGAGAGGATCGCAGAGGAAATCCTGAGGATCAGGGGGAAGACCATGATGTATGGAACCCGGAAAATATTAGGAGATTACAGGATAAGGACATTGTGATTGTTTTCTTCAAGGAACGAAAGGAAGCGGTGTTGGACAGACCTGAGTTTGCAGAAATTGCAGGAATGGGATTGGAGGCAAAAGCGTACTGGGGACAGTGGAATCAATTAGAGGTGCAGGAAGGTAAATTGTATAGACGATGGGAGACGCCGGTCACACCGACTCATCCCATACTTCAGCTGGTAATACCTAAGGAAATGCAAAGAGAAATATTTCAGCAATTACATTACCATCGTACAGCAAGACATAAAGGAGAGAAACGGAGTAGAGCCAGCATTCAGCAACGGTTCTACTGGCCAAACTACACGAAGGATATCAAGAGATGGTGCCAGTACTGCACTGTCTGTGCTCGGAAGTGACATGGAAAAGGGTTGAGAAGGGGAAGGTTAAAACAGTCAGAAGTAGGAGCGAGTTGAGGAAGAAAATGGGAAGGCAGAGGAGAAGTTAAGGGGAGTAAGGATAGAATTGGGGGAAGACAAAGGCGTATCCGAGGGCGGATACTAATAGAAGTTGGGGGGAGTTGTGGAGATTTCGGGGGTGTATAACTCACAGGAGCAGTAGACTAGATCAGGATGGATAGATTGAACTCACAGTATAGATGGAATAGCCATATATTGACTAAAGAGAGGATAAGATATAGCCAGCACATAGAAAGCGCGCACGTCCATGGGCGCAGCCATCTTGGATCATGACATCACGGCTACTGCTATGGTTGGGGAAAACAAGGAGTGTTTACGTGAAAAGCGATAACGCGATAGTAATCGAATATAATAATCAACGCGGTTATGTACTAGTGGTCAACATAATATATGAGGAGATTTGAATAGAATAAATAGTCTAAGTTGTCGAGGAGAGGAATATTTACCTAGGAACGAGTTGCATAAGGTGATGCAATCATCGTACCAGCCACGGGTTGCGTCATCAGGTGAAAGGGATTGCACCAGCGAACGAGAAATCGGCGTGTGTTTTTTCAATGTGTGCAAAACAACGGCACGTAGGGGGGGGGGGTGCGTTGCCAGCTAGGTATATAAGGCGCGCCGAATCGCAGAGCAGGAGCGTTATTTTTCAGGTTAGGTTTAGGAAGAAGAAGAAGAAGAGAAAGAGGGAGAAAGCCGTTTAGGTTTCAAGGAGAGAGATAACGGAGGGAGTAGAAGGCCGGGTTTTCAGGTAGGTGAAAACCGGAGAACAACGGGAGAGGGGAATAAAATGGAGAAGGAGAAGAACGGGATTTCAGTTAGGTAGAGCCAGGAGCGACTACGAGGGAGACACCCGTGGAGGCTGTTTAGGTCTACGCAAAGCGAGGACGAACGTGAGAGAGGAAGACGAAGCCGGCGACGCGTTAATGCTGTAATATTAGACGAGATAGATATAGGATCTGCTGCATATACGAATGCAGGGGAATTATTTGTAAACTAGTAGGAAGCAATAAAACTATAACTGTACAGTTAACCGAATCTAACTGTGTTCTGTTCCACTGGTACTACCTGTTATTTGCTACGGGCATCTCCGTCCTGCCTAATATACCGGCAGGAGCGAACACTGAATCCAAACAACTAGGACACGCGTTAACTATATAACGCCTGTCGTACCCTAGTCGGCTACCCCTAAGGCCACTACAGTTAAAATGGGGGCTCAGTCGGGATTGTTCGCATGTAAATGTAGCAATAGCAAGTGTACTAGTGTTATAGACGGATAGTGAGCGAGGGTAAAAACATGTCAGGTGTACCTGTGTGTTGCAGAGGAGCATTTGACCGGCATTTACAGGTAATTATCGGCAATACTAGGCGAAAGAGAGTAGAGAAACATTAAGACATTGGTAGTAAATACATTTCGTGTTTATTCAGCATTGCTTTTTTATTGAAAACTAGCTGGGCTACCCGGTGATGCCTTGGATAAAGGAGAAAAGAGCTAGAATTTAGTCTGCCATCACGGCTGTACTGATCTTATTCGGATTTTATAAATCTGTCCCAAGAATTTTACTTCTGTTTAGTTCTGCAGCGCTTCTTGGTACACAACATTCTTGGTCTTGCCATCTTGAGAGAGGATGTAGAGGTTGTCTGGGTTATCCAGCCTGGAGCACCCCACATAGAGCTGGCCATGGGAGAACACTGGCTCACTGAGGTTGAGTCCAACCACCTTGAGGGACTGGCCCTTGGCCTTGTTGATGGACATGACAAAGCTCAGCTTGACTGGAAACTGCAGCCTCTTGAACTCAAATGGCAGGTCTGATGGGATGAGCGGGATCCTTGGGATGAAGACATTTTCGCCCTTGCCTTTGCCTGTCATGATTTTGGCTTCGATGACTCTGGGCATGAGCTGCTTCACTGTGAGCCTTGTGCCATTGCAGAGCTTGGGAGCATCCAGGTTGCATTAGCAATATGGGTGCGCCGACATTGAGCACCAAGTTGTGTGGTGGCAGACCTGAGGGCGTCAGGCTGTTGAGAAACTCGGTCGGATAGTGCACCACTTGGTCAGGATCAGGAACTGTGTCCATCGACTTGCAGCTCGTTGGGTCGCCAGGCAGTTGCTCCAGCAGCTTGGCGTTTATGTCATCCACGGCTAAATTCTTGGGAGCAAGGATGGCTCGCTCGCTCAGCCAGTCTTGGTGTTGGTAGCGAAGGTGGAGGTTGGGGAAGACTTTGGTCATCAGCTGGGTGATGTCCGCCGCTGCTTTGCCGAATTGCAGCTTGACTTGGCCATCAGCTGTGGTGGTGAGTCTGCCATTGCCGACCTCCAGCAGTTGCTGAGAGAATCGGCCAGCTTCTTCATTACCGCTGAGCATGTTGGTCTTCAGGCTGTGGCGGTTCACCTTGCTGCAGAGGTAGGACGACTTGATGCAGGCATTGACAGCATCTGCTGTTGTTCCTTTGGCGATGACTGGCAAGGTTTGGCGAAAGTCGCCTGAGAGCAGCTCAGTCAAACCTCCCATGACGTTTGTGTTGTGCCGAAGGTCTTGTAGGGTCTTGGCGAGTGCTTCAAAGGCGCCTTTGTGGCGCATGGTTGCCTCATCCCAGATAATGAGCTTGCACTCTTGGAACAGCTTGGCCTTTGTGGAGCCACGGCTGATGTTGCAGGTTGGATCATATTTACCTACAAAATGGACTAAAAAAGTGGCGTTCCAAAAAAGGGAAATCTCTTTTATCGTTTTTTCCTTTATTTTTCCCTTTTTTGCATTTTTTTTTGCATAAAATGGTTGTCGCGTCATGCTGATTCAGAATATATATGGTGTTGGGGGTGACCTCTTACGGGTCTCGAGAAGATAGACGGACAGACAGACAGACAGATCCGGCCATTTATGTAGGAGATGCTGCAGCGTCTGTGGTCCGCTTGGTCACTCGTCGCTTCACCTTGTGTTGTGATCACGCTAGGCAGCCTAAAAAAGCTGTGTGGCTCTCTCTGATACTGATTGCTGCAGTTGACAACACCGCAGGAGAGTGTCGTTGTGATGGATTTGCTTAATAGGCGAATAAAATGAGCAGAGAACAGTGCATTGCTCAATGTACTTGTACTATGCCTGAGCTGGTTTCTGTAATCGTCATGGCCGGCGGCGTTGCATTGTGGGTAATATGAAAAATCGCGGAGCCCTCTATAGTCTATAGAGGGTTCCGCGATTCATATTACCCATAATGCAACGCCGCTGGCCATTAGGCTTCTAGAAACCAGTTCAGGCATGCTACAAGTACATTGAGCAACGCACCTCTGCTCATTTTATTCGCCTATTAAGCTAATCCATCACAACGCCGCTCTCCTGCGGTGTTGTCAACTGCAGCAATCGGTATCAGAAAGAGCCACACAGCTTTTTTAGGCTGCCTAGCGTGATCACAACACAAGGTAAAGTGACGAGAGACCAGGCGGACCACAGACGTTTGGAGCATTTACGCGTTAATGCTGTAATATTAGACGAGATAGATATAGGATCCGCTGCATATACGAATGCAGGGGAATTATTTGTAAACTGGTAGGAAGCAATTAAACTATAACCGTACAGTTAACCGAATCTAACTGTGTTCTGTTCCACTGGTACTACCTGTTATTTGCTACGGGTATCACCGTCCTGGGGCCCGTTGTCAGAAACAAAATTAGTCTTAACATTAGTCTTAACATTTACTTTTTTTTTCTTAGACCGTCGACAGAAACGCTGAAAAGTTTGAACGCTGAAAACCTGAATGAAAAATCGTAGCAGATTTCCTGATAACAATACGAAACAAAGCGCTGTCGACGGTCTACGGGAAAATGTTATTGTTAAGACTAATGTTAAGACTAATTTTGTTTCTGACAACGGGCTCCTGCCTAATATACCGGCAGGAGCGAACACTGAATCCAAACAACTAGGACACGAGTTAACTATATAACGCATGTTGTACCGTAGTCGGCTACCCCTAGGGCCACTACAGTAGTAGTAGTGGTAGTGATAGTGGTAGTGGTAGTGGTAGCGGCAGCGGCAGTGGCAGCGGCAGCGGCAGCAGCAACAACCGCAACAGTAGTAGTAGTGGCAGCGGCAGCAGCAACAGAACCGCAACAGTAGTAGTAGTAGCAGCAGCAGCAGCAGCAGCAGCACGGCAGCAGCAGCAGCGGCGGCGGCGGCGGCGGCGGCGGTGGCAACAACAGCGGTAGCAGCAGCGACAACAAAAGGTGAACGCTGGCACATTAGTTGGTGTTAATTAACGAGCACTCGTGCTGTCGGCGATACGCCTCCCACACGTGTTGGGCTATGCTGTCTTGCGTTGACACGACGCATGCGCTAGGAAATTAGAATCAAGCTGGTGATTCATAAGAAAAGTTAACGAGCGCGCTGACACTGGCTGTTCGCGGCGCAATCTGGTGAGAATTTAAACATTGATTTCTCTACGATGCTGCGTCCACGCACGCAGCTGTGATGATGCTGACGCTTAGGCGTTAGTTGACGCTGAAGTTGATTCATGCACGCAGTCACGCTCTAGAAACTAGTCTTTCAGAAATACACGTGCTTAGCTGACTTGCGTAGGTTGCATGCAGTAAAGAGTACATAATAGAGATCTCTACTATGTACTCTTGATGCAGTTCGTCACACGAGATTTCGTCAAATCAACCATGTATGAAAAAGCAAGGCTGCCATGCAGGTGTGTTGATTGCGGTTTGAAAGCGAATACACGGCAATGTAATTATCATGAGCGATGGGAGACGAGCCAGCGTAATGCAAGCAGAGGAATCAGTGCATGGCGTTTTTAATGGCTGCGGGCATGTTTGTCTGTAAATTTGCATAAACGGATCGTCACCTGCTAAACATGGTTAAATGCTGACGAGAGATGTTCGCTAACACATTTATTCGATAGGATGCGTAAGCGTGACTCTGAACTCTAAATGAAACTGTAGATTGACATGAACTATTGAAGTCCTACTGCTATTGCCTCTATAAAGCCTAGCGCAGACTTGCGACTTTTGGTTGCTCGTCGCTGTAACCTGCAACCGCATGCGGTCGGTCGCACGGTTCACCGCGTGTGCGCGTGCAAGTCGCTGTCTACCCGCACACATGCGATTTCGAAGCGATTTCGGAGCGATTGGGAGCGACGAGTTGCTGAAAATCAGATCAGTTTGATTTCTTGCAACTCGTTGCAAGCGACCGTCGCTACGAGTTGCAGTTGCACGTTCCCGCAGACATAGCGATTTCACAGCAATTTCGACTGCGATTCTAGAATCGCAGCCGAGTTGCATGAAAAAGTCGCAAGTCTGCGCTAGGCTGAATGCTTTGGCTTAACATATATCATCGATACATACACAGTCGACGACGCAGTGGAGTCGTATCTACCCAAGTGCGACCTATTCTATTCCAACACTATAGTCGCGTTCACACGGTCATGGTTTGGCTCGAGGCAAATGGGCTAAAGTTGGCTCGGGCCAAATTTGGCTCGGGCCGGTTTCAGTCGGAGCGTTCACACGTACGCAAGTGAATACTGTCTGTCAAATTCAAATTCAAATTCAAATAAATTTTATTGCACAAATATCTCACAGATACTTTGGCAGTATGTCGCGAGATGTCGTTGTGTACGATTCAGAGTGTTTACTTCCGTTCCGAGTTCAATTATCAATCTTGAAAACGTGCATCCTGATCAAATTTTTCGAATTTTTATACTGTTTTGGACTTTATTTCGTCGAAGTACACGTTCGACACTCGCTGCATCTACCGCTCAACTGATTCTACCGCTCTACCGCTCGCCGAAAGCTAGTGCTAAAATTTGGCTCGGGCCTGGTCCGACGTTTTCGATGGGACCAAATTGGCTCGTGCCAAATTGTCACGGCCCGAAAAACCGTCCGTGTGAACGCTCGGCTCGAGCCAAATCTGGCGCGGGCCTAATTAGGCTCAGACCAAAAACGTCCGTGTGAACGCGCCTTATGTTTCTATGTTAAACTTATTACACAACAGCACCAACGTTTTGAAAAGGTTTAACGTATAAACATTCGAGTTTTAATCATAGCCATTATTGATGCTATATATATATATTAGAAATAACATGCTGCAGTTTTTAGAGACGTTGTTCTTCTTAGTTATAGTTGATTATCCAGTAACTCTAGAAGTACTTTATGTTTAGTTTCTTCACTCCGCCTCGGAAACATCTATACTGCTGTAGTCACATTTTTATTCTAAAGTGACCTGGTTGGATACCAAATGTATGCGGTTAGAGTTGTCAATCCCACCTACAAGTAGTCGTTATTAAGACCACGGTAAGAAATAATTTACCAGGGTAAACACGTTATTTAGCCAAAGAGGAGCCTTGCGTAGACGTTTGGTACGGTGAATTTAGGTTTATATTTGCGGGCGAGGGATTTATTCTGACTAAGAAAAATACCAGTAAAAGTATTTTAGTAAACATTATTGCTACCGTCCAATAAATGAAAATGTCATACCACCAAGGATTTCTTTTTACACGGATGAAATCTCTTCAACAGGTGTAAAAGTAATTTTACCTTTGTGACCGGTTACCATTATTAATTAAGTATTAATTAATTATTAATTAAGTAATAAGTAATTATTAATTAAGTAATAATTAATTATTAAT